TTGAGAAATGCTGAATGTGTTCTTCCCTTTTGGTTTTCTAACTCCAGGTCTTTGCACATTTCATTATAATACTTTACTTTGTCTTCTTGAGCCGCTCTTTGAAATCTTCTGTTCAGCTCTTTTACTTCATTTTTTCCATTCCCTTTAGCTACTCTACCTTCAAGAGCAAGGTTCAGAGTCTCTTCTGACATCTATTTTGGTCTTTCCTTTCTTTCCTGTCTTAATGACCTTCTGCTTTCTTCAGGGCCCTGGTGGCGTAGTGGTTAAGAGCTCAGCTGCTAACCAAAAGGTCGGCAGTTTGAATCCACCAGCCACTCCTTGGAAACCCTATGGGGCAGTTCTACTCTGTCCTATACGGTTGCTATGAGTCAGAATCGACCGGAAGGCAGTGGGTTTGAGTTTTGTTTTTTTTTCTTTCTTCATGTATGATGACCTTGATGTCATCCCACAACTCATCTGGTCTTTAGTCATTAGTGTTCAGTGTGTCAAATCTACTCTTGAGATGGTCTCTAAATTTAGGTGGGCTATACTCAAGGTCGTACTTTGGCTCTCGTGGACTTGTTTTAATTTTCTTCAGCTTCAACTTGAATATGAGCAATTGATGGTTTGTTCCGCAGTTAGACCCCGGCCTTGTTCTGACTGATTATATTGAGCTTCTCCATTGTCTCTTTCCACAAATATAGTTGACTGGATTCCTGCGTATTCCATCTGGCGAGGTTCACCTGTATAGTTGCCTTTTATGTTGTTGAAAAGGTATTTGAATGAAGTCGTTGGTCTTCAAAGTTCTATTATGGGATCTCTGGAGTCATTTTTATCACCAAGGCCATATTTTCTAACTACCAGTCCTTCTTTTTTGTTTCCAACTTTTACATTCCAATCACCAGTAATTATCAATGCATCTTGATTGCAGGTTTGATCAATTTCAGACTGCAGAAGTTAGTAAAAATCTTCAATTTCTTCATCTTTGGCCTCAATGGTTGATGGATAAATTTGAGTAATAGTAGTATTAACTGGTCTTCCTCGTAGGCATATGGATATCATCCTATCACTGAAGTGTGTTCTTCAAATCTTGAAATGTTCTTTTTGATAGTGAATGTGACGTCATTTCTCTTCAACTTGTCATTCCCTGCATAGTACATCATACAATGTTCAATTCAAAATGCCCAATACCAGTCCATTTCAGCTCACTAATGCCTAGGATATTGGTCTTTTTGTGCTCCATTTCATTTGACGACTTCCAATTTTCCTAGATTCATACTTCGTACATTCCATGTTCTGATTATTAATGGATGTTTGCAGCTGTTTTTTCTCATTTTGAGTTGTGCCACATCAGCAAATGAAGGTCCTGAAAGCCCTACTCTATCCACATCATTAAGGTCGACTCTAATTTGAGGAGGCAGCTCTTCCCCAGTCGCATTTTGAGTGTCTTCCAACCTGAGGGGCTCATCTTCCGGCACTATATCAGACAATGTTCTGCTGCTATTCATAAGGTTTTCACTGGCCAGTTTTTTTTAGAAGTAGATTGCCAGGTCCTTCTTCATGGGAATTTTTAGGGATGCAAATTCTTGGTTCCCACCCCCGACCTAGTACACCAGACCACAGCAATCTGCAGTTTAACAAGCCATCTAAGTTGAGTCATATGCATGCTCAAGCTCCAGATGAAGTTAACCTCACGTCTTCCTCAGAAAACACTTCACTGACCTCTGCTGTTAGTCAAGTATGCCCTGTTCCGATGGGAGGATGAATACTCCGCCACTCCTTTCCCAAGGTTTATCAATGTATTCACCCAGCAAAAGGAGTTCCTGGCTCAGTTGCTAACCCAAAGGTCAGAAGTTCAGTCCACCCAGATGCACTTCAGAAGAAAGGTCTGGTGATCTACTTCTGAAAAACCAGCCATGGAAAACCCTGCGGACCACAGTTCTACTCTGACACACATGGAGATGTTGCCATGAATCAAAGTTGACTCAATGGCAACTGGTACCCAACAAAAGTGTGGGGGTGGGGGAGAAAGGAGGGAGAATTCTCATTCTAAGAAAACTTAAGCCATGTTGTTGCAGACAAATATAAGCTCGTTGAAAAAAAAAAAATTCTAAGAGCATTAGTAAAATTCTTACTCCCCCAAAAATACTATTGTAGGGGAAAAACATCACAAAGTCTAGCAAAGCAAAAAGAAAGTTTTATTCAGCATATATTCAAAAGGGCAGAAGTGGGAAGCGGACAAGCATGCTGCTAGAGCCACGTCTGCCTGAGTCCAAGGAAATATCACAGAACAGGCAAAAGTGGGAAAACGGACAAGCATGCTGCTAGAGCCATGTCTGCCCGAGTCCAAGGAAATATCACAGAACAGGCAAAAGTGGGAAAACGGACAAGCATGCTGCCAGAGCCATGTCTGCCCGAGTCCAAGGAAATATCACAGAACAGACAAAAGTGGGAAAACAGACAAGCATGCTGCCAGAGCCTGGTCTGCCTGAGTCCAAGGAAATATCACAGAACAGACAAAAGTGGGAAAACGGACAAGCATGCTGC